CGTATTTTCGAAAATTATTGAAAATAATAAAGTCAAAATCACGATGACAACTCTACACCACTGCTTCAATTTCAATGATTTGTGTTTCTTTTTTTTTTTTTTTTTTTTTTTTTTGTAGAATCTTATCTTAGAATTATATTCTTAAAAAATCTCCAGAAAGCCAGTACATTTTGAGTTATTCGAGCAACAGAACTTTGCTTTTCCACTACCTACTGTTTTTATAAATTTATTTTGTTTGGTGGATAAGACTTTAGGGAAGACTCATCAATATCGTTGCAGTATTTTGGCGATCGAGTCCTCCAAAATTCAGCCATCATTTTTCGGCCATCATTTAGAAACGAAACAGTGTATGTGACGTCGAGCATCAATCGCGTCAAATCTAAAACAAATCAGTCATCAGTCTCGAAGAAAATCAGCGGGTGGTGAACGGCTTATGGTGGACTGCGAACTTTTTTGCTGCAGATTTTTTTAAACTCTATTCCTAATTTTACGTAAAACTTTGAGATGCGGATTTTGTTTGTCAATTACCAAGGATCACATTAGATCACATGTTTCTAAAAACATAAACGAAAATGGCAATCAAAAGAGCAAATGACCAATACATATAAAATAAACATATTTTGTTATCAAACCAAAGGATTATTTTGAAAACTGTGATGCTAAGATTTTTTTTCTGTTCCTAAATTAACTTGCCCAATTAACAATTTGCCTAATTATAAATGGTAAAGATAAACAATAAACCCACAATTCAAAGTGACTCTAGATTAAATTTAATAGTAAGTCTATATATATATATGTTTCAACCTCTTCCTTTCTTTGCAGATTCTTATATTCACTCTTACTTGAAAAGATTTTTTTTTTTCAGTTTCAAAAAGTTGCATTTTATTGGAAATCATTCTATATGGAGGTTCTTCTAGAGGCGTTAACCTTCAGCCTTTGGATACAAAAACTTGTTCTGGTTCTGGTTCCGCCCTGAAAAGGCTTTGTTCGAAATTCATAAGGGCTTAAGGCAATGTTAGATATAAACGTTTTGACCATTTTAAGCATTTACAATTTAAGTAGCTTACTAGGGCCAAGTTACATTATTGGCATGATTTTTTTTTTAAGTTAGAAGAAGGATATGAAATGGACTGTTGTTATATAAAGTAAGGATATTGTATTCATCTTTTACCGAATTTAAACAATTTGGAATCCCCTCATTTTACTAAATGTATTGTAGGAATTTCTCCTATTGATGTTTTTGCTACTTTCAAGCTTCTCTTGTAATTCTAATCAATTGAACCGTTTATATTAGTTATTTCATTCGATTGAAAAGCAATGTTTTTTGATAAATAATGATATACGGGAAAATCATATATGAGTAAAAAATCATAAAACTTAAAAAAAATTATATATATATTAAAAAATTAAAATACATGAATATCAAAAAAAAAAGATTTTGATCAATCTATTGACATAATAGCAATAATTTGGGTTGGATAAAATTTAGAATAAAATTTGATTCAGGACAAAAAACTTTTCCAAATTCCAAGTTCGATTAATTTACAATTAGATCAGAGTATACTAAAAATATAATGATTCTCTTTTTCCAAATGCAGTACACTGGCAAAATAAGATTTTGTCTAAAATCTTTATTCCAAAGAAAGAAAAAATAAAAATATATATATATATATATACAGTACAACTCTAACTTCAATGAATTTTTCAGAGCTTGCTTCACCGATTAAAAAACTTGTGAATAGATTTAATATATCTGACTATTCATAATGTTTTATAGTACAATTAAAAAAATATAAAAATTACTAGTTAAGCAGTTTTCTATGTTTCGCCTTGATATAAATTTTAATAATAAACCAACACATAAGAACTCTTTACCAACGATTTCACAATGGTTTAAACGGATATACTATCATACTCCATATCAGAGATATGGCTCCAACTGACATGTCCATCAATACGAGGAGGAGACTAAAAAGAGGCTGGAAGAGAGACCTCCTTCCTTAACAAACCATGGTAATTGATTCAAGCAAGGGAAGAAGTACTGCATGGTGTTATCCTTCCCCATGACCTGTCAGTTTCATTACTTTAATCAGACCATCTGCTGATTTTTAACAGTCGTCGGCATGTGCAGAGTGATATTGAAAGTTTAAAAAAGTAATAATTATAAAGCTAACACTAAGATGATTATTAATTTCATAAAACATGCAAAAACTAACAGCTGAAATCTGAAATTTTATGTTTTTCTAAAATATTTCACATTTTTCAGTTTAAAAACAAAATGTAAACTTTGAAACGAATATTTCATAGTTATTGAGTATTTGAATACATTGTTGTAACTTTTTCGTTTTCAAAACAATATGAATTAAACACATTAATAATTTGTTTTTCCTTTACTATTCGATATTACTAAAAGCTGAAACGGAAATCTACCCTTTACAAAAATCCTATCAAATGACTACTACTTCGATTAATCTGCAAGTTTCGGTACTCGGTCACTGTAATATTTGGTATTATGTAAACGGAGAACATTGTAAATTGGAGTTTGTGAACAAGAAATTTTTTGAGAGAGTCATGCTATATTGACAAGCATACTTTATACTTTATTATTATTCAGGTATTATCTCTATAATATGATTTAAATCTCGGAAGACTACTTCAATTCTTCATTAATTTATAAACTAATGAATCGCATCCAGTTGATAGCCAAATAGTTGAGAAATAATTTTGGCAGTTTCTAATACTTATTTACCATTTTTTTGGGGGAGTGTTTGTTCAAATTTACGTTGCAACATTAAAGCATCAAAAATGTTTAAAAAAATAATGTAACAACCGAATTTTTTTTATCTCCATAAAAGCACAATAAAGGTGTAACTATAAAGATAACTAACATTAAAGGTACTGATTCTACCTTAATTATTTTTCAAAATAAGAACAACTAATTTCTTATTGAATTCTAAACAGAAATATGAGAAGAAATTTTCTCGACCAACAATCAGTTCAGTCCTTGAAAAAATTTCTTTTTTTCTTTGTATTTTAATTTTGCTTCGCAGAACCATAAAATGGACCTTCGTTACGGGCCCTCGTCGATGTAGTTTCTCTACCTAATGAAAAAAAAAATACTGAATTGGACAGTAAAATTAGGATTTGATTCTTCAAGGTTAATACCTTTTAGTTTTATTGAGAATACAATCCCTATGCTTTTCAAGTTTATTATAAGGCACCATCAACATCGAGAACATCAAACCAGGCGAAGAACTTATGGCGGGCTACTTCATCAAAAGACAGACATATTTCCTCTTAAAATTTGTAAATTGTTTTATTCATAAACATGTCCATTTTATTACATAAAACAGTTAATGAACCACGAGAAACTTATAAACTGGAAAAGATATTTACACCTTTTACACATTTTTGATATATGCATCTTACACAATAAAATCTTTATTTAAACATAAAAGAAAAACATATACATGACATATGCACAGGCACAGACTTTCTATTCTAGTTAGGAGCGGGGTGATAGACCCTTTCACCCCCCCCCCCAAAATAAAGTCTCTGGACTTTATATTATGGATAAAAATTATGAGTGATAATTAATATAATCACCGTATTTATTGTAAAACAATATAATACTATATATAAAAATAAATTTATATATATATATATATATATATATATATATATATATATATATATATATATATATATATATATATATATATATATATATTCGTATCGATATACTTGAAAATGTGTTAATAAATCATTTGAAAATATTACATATTTTTATTGTTACTTAAAGGTGGGAGTCAGTGAGATTTTCCGATACTTGAAATCTTAATCTATAAAGGAAGGGATCAAATAAATAAGTCTTAAAATCATATGATATATTGCTACATATTATTATCTATAAATATCAACTAAAATTTTAATAAAATGGCATAGGGTTTGGAAAAATACTAGAGTATCTACTTCAAGACCTTTACTTAGCCTTCTAGTCGACTTTTTCTATTTTTAATCGATTTTAGTTTACACACTTTACTCATACGTGTAGATTAATGTAGATTCATCAACATAAATAAATATTTTTTGAAAAGTAAAGTATCAATCCATTGTATATGGATTGATAAAGTAAAATGAAAAAAAAAATATTAAGCAACAGAAAAAGTAAACTAGATTTAATAAAAAAAATATCTAGAAGAAATCCATACTCATGTACAATACTTACATTGATCCAAGGTAGTCCGCACCAAACTTTATCTTGTACAAGTAGAAGACCTCCACGAGACTCCATCCCTTCTCTAGTTCAAGTTTATTTATGGAGCTTCTCATCATTCCAAAAACAGTATACATTGATTTATAGTCTTAAATTTATAGTTTTTTTTTTTATAGCATACGTGTTATATAAATATTTTTCATAAATTTATTTATTCTTTCTAATCATTCAAGTTAATTTCGTGAATTCGTTCTTTTTAAACAAATGTAATAAATCAAGGAACCCCAGAAGGGATTAGAATTGGACAAGATGGTCCATCAAATTTTTTTAGTAGATACATTTTTATCTGGTTATATATTTTTTAAGGGTTTCAATTCGGGAAAATTTTCAAAATAGCAAGCAAGAAATATTAATCATACAGTTAGTGTGATAGTAAATATACTGATTTTTTTTTTTTTTTATATCATTCTTCTTTCACATGCGCTGTTTTTTCTTTGTTTTTTTAAAGAGATAGCTATAAAATGTTTGGTAGAAAAAGTATGCTCCATAACCCTTGGGGAGAGGGATAGTCAGTTTTGTTGTAAATAATTTCATGAGCATGCTTAAACAAAAATTACTATGTGAAAGTGCTTTACGATTTGTTTGATTTACATTATTTAATAAAAATGCAATGTACACAAAATGGATTGTAAAATATATTCTTCTCCTGAAAATTGGAAAAAAACTGATGACAAATTATACTTTAAGTCTGCCAATAGTTTGTGATTTGCCTACTCCTGAAGGGATGAGGACACCAGGCACTGTCTTGAGTTACCACCCGGATGAAAGCCTAACCCAGCTTATGGTGGTTAGCCGATACGGACGACGACCTTCCTTGAACTTGGTTTGGTTGATCTTGGTTCGAAGGGTGTGCCCCTCCCCATGGAGCCCCGCCTCCTGGTCAGTATATATACTGTCTCGGCCCTCCTTTCGTCAGTCTACCATTAACATCATGTACAAGATCGTAAGTAACCACACAGTACAGCAGAATTTAAAATAAATTAAATATAAATATAATATATCTTTTTATACAGTTTTATTTTTAAAAAATTTATTGAATATTGCTCTCTACTAGATAGGAGTATATTATAAGAACTTAGTATTGAAGTAGATCTAATTCAATCTGGTAAAGTAAAATACTTATATTCGATCAGCCTATCAGAAGTAATATGTTTTGACAATTTATAATTGTAATTTCATTTATTTGATTAGAATGCAGTATTCGATATATATATATATATATATATATATATATATATATATATATATATATATATATATATATATATATATATATTATATTTTAGATCGTTTTCAATATTTTTCAAAAATTGTCCTTTTCTTTTTAACTTTTTTACTGGAGAATTGAAATAAGATGACTTTTACCATATTAAAAGATGCAGTAGCATTCAAAGGAATATAAAAACACTTTTTGCCTTCATTAATATTTCGAATATTTATCCATACCAAATTTATACTCAAACAGTAAGAAATAAATTCCGAGTTAGAGAGGGAAGTCGAAAACTTTTTTCTAAACGCTATGAATTTTTACTGTTATTTTGATGAAATATGTTTAAAGGAATATCTCTTGAATACAATATTGATTGTTAAATAATCTGAAAATATAATTCTAACAAAATTAAAATTAGAAATTAATTTATTTCAAAATTTATCGGAATAAATATATGTATAAAATTTAAATTCTTGGATGAATTATATTCGCAAAACGTACATTTGAATTCAAAAGTGAGATAAGTTTTTTAATTAATCAATACTTTATTATACCTTTGTTACCTCTCAATTCATGTGTTTATATCGATAATATCCTTAGTTTATACATCAGAACGTGATTATAATATTTCGATGTTAAATAAGTGTGATAATAATATATACTTATTTCAAAACTCACAGATTTTATTAAACTAGCTAATTTTAATGGAGGGTATAAATCTAAACCAAATTATTACAAATTGGGCATATTTCAATGTGTCGTTTTTTTTTATAGTTCGCTGTACTGTGCATCGTCGGATGCACCTTAGCTAAGGAGAAGGCCATTTCTCCATCTTCTGAGTCACGTAGGCTGAAGGCAAGACAAGTTGGATCGGTCTACGGCCTGGAACACTACATCGAGCCCGTCCACCATGTTGTAGACTACCTGCATGAACCACATGTAGTCGGATCTGCTGTGCACTATGTCGAACCATCTGTGGTTAGTCTTGGTTCTGTACAGACAGCACCACCCTTGGTCCATCCCATTGGTCCAACACATCAAGTGTACAGCTATGTACCATCTGTAGGCTATGGTCACCCTTACAACAACTATCATTCCGGCGCAGCAACTCCTTTTGCTGCCTATGCTCCAGTAAGCAGCCAACAGGTTAGCCGAGTTCAATCTCCTCAAGCTGCAGTATTCACTGGATTTTCTCAAGGAGGTCAACAATCAGGATTATCCCAGGTAACACAACAGGCTGGCTTTTCCCAGGAAACTCAGCAAGGTGGATTCACCCAGGGAGATCAACAATCAGGGTTATCCCAGGTAACACAACAGGCTGGATTTTCCCAGGAAACTCAACAAGGTGGATTCAGCCAGGGAGATCAACAATCAGGGTTATCCCAGGTAACACAACAGGCTGGATTTTCCCAGGATACTCAGCAAGCTGGATTCAACCAGGGAACTCAACAATCTGCACTTCCACAGGAAAACCAACAAACTGCCTTTGCACAGGGTACTCAACAATCATCATTTTCACAGGAAAACCAACAATCTATCTCTCAATCAGAAATACAGACGGATAATGCTCAAACACTTGTAGGACAATCAGCCCAGCAAACAGAAACTCAGCAATCTGCTAGTTCTCAAAATGCGCAAGGAGCCCAGCAAATCCCAAGCCAACAGAATGGAAGATTTCAGTTTGGAATCCTCCATTCAGGATTCGGACAGCAACAACAGTTTGGAATAGTTCAGACCCCCTCATCCCAATCCACTGAATCTCAAGTCACCTTTGGACAAAGACAAGCAAATGATCAATCAAGTGGACAGACCGTTTTCAGAGGAGCCCAGCAATCCGGCAGCGTTTCGACTCAGCAGACATCAGGAAGTTTCTCTCCTTCCACAGCTGTCTCTTCTGTAGCCGTCGCAAGACAACAGCCCACTAGTTCTCAGTCAGTCAGTCAACAGACCGGAGGAAGTAACTCTCCAGCATCGACTACATCACTTGGATCACAAACTTTTGGATTCGCCGCAACTCAAGGAGCACCCGCTGTTCGTCTAATCCAACCATACAATCTCAGCCCATCTTATGCCATTCACGGTCTTGGTTTCAGGACCATCCAATCCGGACCATCAGGTTCATTCGTTTCAAGCTCACAAGATACAGCAGCCACATCAGGTCAGAGCGCTTCATCTGGATCACAACAATTCACTCCAACTGCTTCTGGATTCCAATTCTCTACACAGGGTCAGGGATCTGGTAGCCAAGAATCATCCCAAGTTGAAGCTTTCAGAAGCGGAGCTGCGAATCCTTCCGGCATCCAATACAGTTACACCAGCCAACAATCTGCCAGCCAGCCAGCTACAGTGAGATCTGGAACACAGGTCAGCGGTTCGGCAAGAGCCCAAGGTTCGTCATCATCTGCTGATGGACAGGCACAAGGAAGTCTATCTTCTTTCCGATCAACATTCGTCAGTTCCGGTGATGCTAGTCAAGATTCTTCTTCAAGCTCTCAAAATTCTAGTCCAACTCAGCAGCCACCAGCAATTCTTAGAATGTCTAACGACCTGAGCTTCGACGGATCTTTCAATTATGGGTAAGATAAAACATTTGTTGAGCTTAGTAATTATTTATAATATGATAATTAATTTATGACATTCGTATTTAAAGGAGGTACATAAGAATTTATTATTATTTTTACACTAGGATCAAATCAAACACGATTAACTCAATGTTACTTCGTTTAATCTTGAATTGCATGGCTTATCAAATATTAGAAAAAGAAAAAGAAACAGATAAAATATCCAGTAAACTGTTTCAAATAGCTTAATAAATTTTAAATCAATTTATTATAATTAGATTTAAGCTACTAAATTAAATTTTCTAAAACATGTTTATTACCGAAATGGATTAGCAACGAATATATTCAGAAAAAGTATTAAAGATCTGCTAGATAACGTCCATAATATTAAACAAAAAAATGTTTAAACATTTATCTGACGGTATATTTCCTCGCTCCCCACCCTCAATCGATGTATTAAATACTCATGAAGTTATTCAATGAAGTAAATTTATACATATAAAAAAAATTAGGATAGGATTAATATAAATATGTTGAAATAATTAAGAATATTATTAAAGAAAATAACCAGGGCATTCGCTTGTTGGCTTAGGGTCTCGTGCAAAGTCACCAGAAGTTAATGGTTTCGTACTAAAAATAGAAGGTCTTGGGAAGACTTGGCGGCCTTGGCAATGAGGGCTGGTCGCCTGGAGTGCTCTTCGGAGGTTCCGATAACTTTCTCTGCCGCGTCTTTTCCAGTTCCAGCGAATTCCATATCGATTACCGAATGGAGGCGCTAACAAATTTAACTAAAACGCGATAATTACTTGTTCTTAAATCTTCTTTGTTTTGTGTTGCGTTCAGGTCTTTAACTTCTGTTGACCATCCATTCTAATTAAACTAGCAACAACCTGCGAAAACGTTTACCCAATACCAGTCATGCTTTCCCTAAATTCACTCGAGTAATTCACACTTTAAAGATTCGAATATTTTTTTTCTAAACAAAAAAATAAATGTAAAAGAATTGTTCCGAAAAATAAAATAAATCAAGAAATATTAAAATTAAAATTAAAAAAAAAAAAACGTTCTTATGTAATATGTCTCATATAGATATGTGATACATATGATTTCATTTTAAGAACGCAACAAAACGTTGCATAATCAACTGTAAGAAGACACTACGCACATCTAATGTTACTGTCTTATTTGATACGAAGATTTAAAAGAATGTAAGTTGGTTATTGATATCTCTTAATAATAATACTAGTTTGATTTTAAACTTTTTTTGTTCATATCGTCGAAACGATGTTAATTCATTTTCGCTACTTTAACATAGTGCTTACGATATGTTTATAAAACGCATTTCTACATTAGATTTTTTTCAATGAATTCTAGGCAAACTATTAAATGTTCCATGGTTTACGATTTGTCTATATTATTTATTGGTTAATAAAATTGGATCTATTGCATTTTAAATTTTATTTTATATTTTTAAACGGAGACAATAGCTTTGCAAAGTCTCTGATCGCTTAGATACATATGACATTTAAATTAATAAGAAAAATGCCCCTTTAATAATTCAAGATCTTCCAAGTTCACTACAATTGCTGTGCTCTGCCTTTACTGGTAGTGAAAATGTTTGTTTTACCGACAGGTAGTTTGAGAATGCTCCAAATAATCGAGATTTTTTAAGTGTAGTTTAAACCATCTTTGTTTTTTTATACAAAATAAAATATAATAAGGATCTACACACAACATATTTATTGAAATTTTCAATGTTATATATGAATGTAGGTTCGAGTCAGAGAATGGTATCTCTTCTTCTGCTGTTGGTTCCTTGAGGACCATCGACGCTCAGCATCCTGCCCAGATCATCTCCGGATCTTACTCATACACCGCTCCTGATGGCACACCCATCTCCACCAACTATTACGCCGACGAGACTGGTTTCCACGCACAGGGTGCCCACCTCCCAACTCCTCACCCTCTGCCAGAATATGTCGCCAGGGCCCTGGAAATCCTTCCTCAGCAGAGCAACGCCGATCAAGTCCAGCCGACTGTCGAAAGCAACTGAAAAGTTCCTCACAATATGTTTCAATTTCGATTTTAATTTATAAATGACTCGCATCGAATAAAGTTAAATTTGTTTCATTATGTCATTTCTTATTTCTTCTTCTAAAATCCACAAACATTTTAATTTTAACCATTTTTCATTATAATTCAAAGAAATGCATCAAGCTCCTATAGGGACACTTCCAAACGTACTAAATAATTGAATTGGTAAAGCATCATTATTAAGAATCTTCTAATGCTAAAGTGAATTAAATATAATTTTCAAAGAAGCTGGATGATCAATACTATGTTTGTGTGTATCTATATATATGTGTATATATATATATATATATATATATATATATATATATATATATATATATATATATATATATATATATATACACAATATTACTCAATTCTTCTTCGGTGCATACTATTATTTTCAAGTTAATTCACCATTAGCCATATTTACACCAATTTAAAAAAATTTGTTGTCACTCAATGACTACTCATCAAAATGACGACGTTTCGGCTCGTCGAGCCATTTTCAAGTCTAAAATACCCATCATGTACCTGTCATTTTCACTTATGCGAATTGCAAGCGTCATGTTTCTGAGTCACCCACATGTCATCCATCTCATTTCTATTCAGTGACTGGTTTGTGTGTATCTATATATATGTGTATATATATATATATATATATATATATATATATATATATATATATATATATATATATAGAGAGAGAGAGAGAGAGAGAGAGAGAGAGAGAGAGCGAGAGGGGAAAGAAAAGAGAGAGAGAGATGTAGAAGTTATAGAAAAAAAAAAAATATATATATATATATATTCCATAAAATATTTAATATGATTTCTAAAACGTTATATTAATTTTAAACACTTATATTGTTTAAAAGAGCTCTTATTTGAAACCCTTCCTGAAAAAATATGTTATTAAATTACCAGTGAATTATCATGTTTCGATGTTTTGGGCTCGTTTGCACGTTTTCAAGTCAATATCATATTTCAGTGAATATATAAAAACAACTAATAACAACTTAATCAAACGATCATTCATCATCACAACAAAACCAATTTATCTGGATTGATTTTTCGATCCAGGTTTGATAGTAATGGGGGTTTTGTGGTTTGTTGGTTAGTTTGATATTAGGTTTGGTATTATTGGTGTTTTGGTTGGGTGATGTTGGTGGAGGAAGGTGGAGGTTTTTGTGTTTGTTTTTTTGGAAGTTATGGTTTGTGGTTTTTTTTTGTGGTGTGTATTGGGAAGTTTGTATTGGTTAGTGGGAAGTTGGTTGGAATGTGATGTGGGTTTTGGGTTAGGATGGTATTGATGGTTATGAGGTGGTATGAGGGGGTGTGGTTTGGTTTGTAAAAGAGGGGTGGGTTAGTTTTTTTGTTTGTTTTATTATTTTGTTTTGTGTAGGAGTGGTTTGGTGATTGTGGTTGTTTTTAATGTGTGATGTTGTTATTAGTTGGTAGGTAGGAATATCTTGTTTTAAAGTTGTTTTGTGTGGTTTTGGGTTATGGTTGTTTAAGTTTATTATTAGTATAGGATTGATGTTATGGTAATTGTGTATTTATGGGAATTTTATATGTTGGGTGTTAGAGTGGGGGTTGTTTGGTTTGAGTGATGTTTTGGTTCATTAATTTTACTTAAATATACATTTGTAAGGTATTGTAAATAAAAGAAACAAAAAGCGGCCAGAAATATGTCAATGGTTTTATTCTAAGAGCTACTTTTTAGTGCAGATTTATGCAAAATACATAAAGATCAATCTATTAGATTATTAAATATTTTATGAGATTCATACGAAATATTTTTTATTATCGCCATCAGACATAAAGAAACATCTAAATAACGATATAAGTGATAGTGGACAATAAACTTAAAACATCGCAATAAACATTATTAAAAGAACAATACAACTGTCTCATTAATTATTCGTACACATGATGCATTTCATTCCGACTGGTTGGTTGTTTTAATGATGTAGGGGCAAAACATATAGGTCATCAGCGCCTTATCCATAAAATATTTAGCTGATAGGTTTAATACGAAAAAAAAAATATATATATATATGAGAAAAAATAAATAAATAAATTAAAAATATATATATATATATACATATATATATATATATATATATATATATATATATATATATATATATATATAATATATATATATATATATATATATATATATATATATAAGAAAAAAATAAATAAGAGAGTAATAACAATAAAAAATAAATAAATAAAAATTCATTTTATCGATTAGAAGTTAGAGTTGATTGGTCTGATATAAAGTTATCAGATGCTACCCCAAACTTCACTGATAAATGGATTTAATAAAGAACTCTTTATGAAATTTATTTTAACCTCAAATAACTCTTTGTTTTTAAGCATACTAGAGTGTTTTCTCTCATGATAACATATGTTTGTAAATGTTTTTTAGTGAATTGGTGGTAAATAGTAATAATTCGAAAAATATCGCCTACCATAAACATATTTATACAAACTCATAGGAAAATATTCCTCACAGATGTATAGTTCAGAAAAAACGAACCACTTAAAAAAAATCAATAATTTTAATCAAAATTGTTATGACAAAACTAATATTAGAGTTAGTCGGTACATAAATAATAAAACGCTACCGGACTCTGCTAATCAACATTAGAACAGCAAGTAATGATTCTTTGAACATACTAACTGTTGGGGCCGGGGGTATTTTAAAATTAAAACACAAACCCTTCCCCGGTGAGGTTCCTCAAAGGTTGGGAAAATTGGTGTAAAATTAAAATGTGGGAAAGTGGAAAAATTAAGGGAGTAAAAATGAGACCTGTAAAACATTTTTAAAAAATGTGCATGCACAAGAAAATATTAAAAAATAGAAATATTTCAATAAAAAAAAAAATGGAAAATAAAAAATTCCTTTTTTTAAATGTTCACAAATGTATTGAATAAAAAAAGAGATATAAAATATATATAATGGATAAAAACCAAATAAAGAGTGGTGTGATGTTCCCTGAAATGATTAAACACAAAATATAACTCAGTGAACATAAACCCCAAATTTACAATTATTAATAAAGAAAAAAAAGAAATCAATTTCTAAAATCATACATAAAAAGAGAGAAAAATAGTTGTCCAAAATAATAAAACGAATTTAGCTAAGAAAGCAATAAACTAAATGTTCGAACGTCTTGGTGAGGATAAAAAACACAAGCCAAGTTTGAGGTGCTTCTTCCAACCTGTTACCTTCCTATGTCCAGCTGTCGAGCAATCGATGGTGGGGTGGTATCGATATGTATCGATTACTCAGCTGCGCCCAACAGTTGATTTTCGAAAATGGCGCTAGGTGAGATGTAATGAGTCTGAATTGGTGGGGGTGGACGTCTTCACATAGACCTTATGTCAACAACGGTTACTTCCAGACTGAGGACCCCGCAGTATTTGTGTCTTAATCCCTAAGACAGGGTATTACTTCCGGGCTGGAGCGTATACACAAACGCGATAATACATCGTAAAATAATCCTACATCTATAAACAATGTACAATTCTGGGACAATTATCTCTCAGTTTTTACCAACAAAAAAAATAAACCTTTTTTATTCACACTTAAAAGGGGGGAGTGGTGAGAAAAATAATAATGAAAAAATTAAAAGACTGAAAAAAATTAAATGTGCGTATGCGGCGTTAACATAAACACTCAAATAAGAAATGTACAACAGCTGACAAACACCTGAAGACTAGGAGGAGATTAAAAAAGCACTGAATGCCAGACTTCCTTCCTTAACAGTTTAAGATAACAAGCAAAAGGTGCTGCTAGGCTCCTTATTCCCCAATTTCTTCTATACCACTATTTCCTAAATTTCATACAGCCCATTTGTTGATTGACGACACTTAGATAGGTGCAAATTCAGGTTTGAAGAAAAAAAATCTATTTTTTTTATTTTAAATCCTCTAATTTCTTAAGAACTAAATCAATTCATTAAATTATATTAAATATAATTAAATCATCTAACTTATTAAATTAAATTAAAATATAATACATTAAAAACTAACATTAAATTACCTTTACCGAGGATGCCAAGTCCTGAAGGATCTAAGGGCGCATAGGTGAACAGCAAGAACCAACCATCCTCCTAGATCCCCACCTCTTCCTCCACCACCAAGTTTCGAAGAATTTCCAACTCTTCAGCAGCCCTTGCGAAAAGAGCAGCCAAAAAACAAAAAAATGCTTCTCAGAAAGCTACGCCAGCTCAGCTGCAGGAACCATCAAGAAACCAGATGACAAGAAGAGAAAATGCTACTACACCTGCTCACATCAAACCATCATGTTCAGGTATGAGGCGGGAAACTACTCAGTAGCCACCTTCAGCTGAAAATAATGCCCCAACTCAATTGCTCCAATTAATCAATGGTTTAAACTCCCTCATACAGCCCCTGTTTAGTATCCTCCAACAGCTTGCACAGGTGACTCAAGCCATGTATCCACAAAATGGCCGCTAATCAGCTGACTGCAGGCTCTTTGTCCATCCTTCTGTGGGGACATGGCCACAGCTGACATACCTCAGAACATGAGCAGGAGACTAAAAAGGCGTTGGATGAGGGATCTCCTTCCTTAGACAACCTAAGTAATTGGAACAAGTTAGGGAAGAGGTACTGCTGAGTACCTTCCTTCCCCATGCCTGTCATGTCATTATTTCCTGTATCGTCATCACATTTGCTGATTGTCAACAATATTTTGACAGGCGCAAATATATTTGTTATAGACAAAAAAAACAAAAAAACAAATTACCTTAAGGACCTACGCTTCTCGGATATAAGGAACAGCCAAAATCATTCAGGTACGTCAGATGCATTACCTTACATAAAGAACTTCACATACAAACAGTTAACGACTATATATAGAAATATTACACAATATTTCACGATAATTACATGGATATATTAACACACGTATACAAGACGGCTACTATTATCATGCCTGAAAAC